AATGAATGAATGAATGAATGAATGAATGAATGAATGAATGAATGAATGAATGAATAAATAAATAAAAAAAATAGAAAGTGTTGTTGGCAAAGTTAACCAAGTCATACAACATTTTCTCTAACTTGGCTTACGTTTTCTTGGTTGTGATTGACGGCAATTTTTCATTAATTATTCGATGAATAAACACCATTAGTGTTTGTGTAGATAGTTGTGTATTGGCCTGTAATCCTACACCGATCTTCCTTAAGGCCTCCTCCACTCGTTGAGACACCTTATGACTCTGGTTAGAATCCAAAACCTGAAGAGGAAAAAAAGTAGAGTCAGCGAAATATGAGCTGAGTCAATAGACTTCCTAGCTTCGTTGTTTGTTGTCCCATTTCAGAACATGAGATGCCAATCTTGGGAATTGATATTTAAATGTTAACATATTCGTCATAAAAGAACAGTTCTCAAGGGAATGTCATGTGATCTGAAATGGGCAGTTTGCATACGAAGCTAAAAAGGTCTATCTCTTTAGTTCTCTTTGTACCTCCAAGGTTCCCCCCCCCCCCCCCCCCCCCCCCAGTTTTTCGGTTTTCCTTCGCTCCTCTCAAATCAACTCTAAATAATTCAAACTGGTTAGAGCTGTGCTCTGGGCTCATACATGGACTGTATACAGAGCCACATTCGCATTGCTTTTAGTTCGACCCCATTGAGCTGCGCCACTGCTGTCTTTGCGTTGGTGATGAGTAATGAAAACAAAATCGTATAAACAGGGAACCCGTACGAAAAAACTGTTTTTTGGTCGGCTTACCCATTCCCATCTGGTTGTCAAACAAAAGAATCTCCTATTTAACTTTGAAATCTTTTTTGAATTCCTGTTAAATATTTCGTGCATTTGTTGCAAGGGGTCTATTATAACCAGTTTTCGTAGAAGAGCAGGGGATAGTTGCTCAAACTTCCGAGCCAAAGGTTCGTGTTAAAGCTTCGACGTATCAAAAAACTGATTGACCTTTTGATATTAGAACGACATGGTACACGTACCTCCTGTAGCGGGCTGACCAGAAGAGATATCGATGTAGAACCAATGACCTTGGCCAGTATCTCGAACGATTCGTAGCTTTTACTTGACTTGGCTTCGTGCAGCTTGTTGGCCAGTTTTTCTACTTCTCGTTCAGTTGCGACTTCACCAAACAAATCTTCCACGAGGATCTTGAATGAAAGGAAGAAGATTGTTGTTGTAGTAATCAGGAGTATTACGTGTCATCATCATCACCAACATGCATCGTCATCATCATGTACCATCATCATCATCATCGTCGTCATCATCATCAACTTCGTTATCATCACCACCACCATTATCATCATCACCATTATCTTTATCATCATCATGCAACATCATGTACCATCATGCATCACCATGCAYCATTATCACGTACCATCATCTTCATCATCACGGTCCAATCCTATAATTATAACTTGTTAACATGATCCTCAACTCACCATTAACGAAAACATCAAAATTATGACCATTATGTAATCACTATCGTCACAATATTCATCTATCAATCTTAATCACTATGCACAACTACCTAACCACGTCAATCTCTCCTCACCAACACCAACACCAACACCAACACCAACACCAACACCAACACCGACACCG